TATGTTAGATATGCTGATATGCATATGTTTTAGAAATGTACTCTACATTATATTATAAATGAGAATAATGAAATTAAGAGATTTTTATTTTTATATTTCAGAATGTACATGCATATAAATTTGATCAATTCCAAGAAGATATTTCTGCAAATAAAAAACTTAAAAGAAGTATAACTGAAACCACAGGTGGTACTGAAGATGGATATGTTGACCAGCCGTTAAAAAAAATATTTAAACAAACAACTATAATTGATAGATTTGGATCAGGAAAAAATGTTACTCAAAAAATGTTGGATCAAAAGCTGGTTAATCTCATAATTGATGAAACATTGCCGTTGGCAATTGTTGACAAGCCATCATTTATTGATCTTGTGAAACTTGGATTACCAAACACTATGTCTATCATGTGTTCAAAAACATTAAGGAAACATTTAATGGTACGTTTTACTGAAACAAAAGAAAAAATCATAATACAAATGGGTAATGCCCAGAATGTTGCTACAACTACAGATTGTTGGTCTCATGGCCGCAAAAGTTATATCGGTGTAACTGCTCATTGGATAAATCTTGATACTTTACAGAGAGAACATGCGGCATTGGCTTGTAGTAGACTATTTGGAAAACACACTTATGATGTTCTTGCAAAAAAAATACATGATATACATAAAGAATTTAAAATCCATAATAAAGTTGTTTTGACAACTACCGATAGTGGGTCAAATTTTGTAAAGGCTTTTAAAGTGTTTGGTGTTGACTTAAATCTAAATAGTCTAAATGAGTTAAATATAATAGTACCAACAGTCGAAGAAGAAAAAGAAGAAGAAGATATTGAATATATTAGTATCGATAATATATTAGATGTTGCACTTGATGTCGAAGACGCCACAGGATTTCAATTGCCACCACATAGAAGATGCATTACACATACACTCAATTTAGTTGCCACTACTGATATAGAAAAATGGATTTCTTCAAATGCACATACCTCTAATATCAAGACATTAAAAACAATTTTCCGTTCTTGTCTTGCAAAATGTACAAAATTATGGTCTAAACAAAATCAGTCAACAATTGTTGCCGAACAGATATATGAGCAGTTTACGTTTCACTTAAAAGTTCCTAACAAAACTAAGTGGAATGCTCTTTTTGATGCACTTACTCAAATTAAAAAAATATTTTTACAGTCACAAGGCATTGACATGTTCAATAAAATTATGGATTTCTGTGAATTAACACGCTTTACACAGCAAGAAATACAATTTATATCTGAATATTGTGATATAATGGAACCCATTGCAACATCTTTGGACTTCCTTCAAGGAGAAAAAGCAATGTATCTTGGTTTTACTTTACCTGTCCTACATGCACTAAAAAAAAAAATGTTATTTAGAGAAAAAAATAATCTCCTTTTTTGTAAACCATTGGTCCAGTGTATACTGACTTCTATAGATAAGAGGTAATTAAAAAAAAAATAATATAAATATAATCTATATTCTATTCAGAATATTCATAAAATTATATATATTTGTTTTATTTGATTTTAAGATTTGGTTCAATTTGGATGGACAAGGAACTATTAGTGGCAGCTTGTCTACATCCACAATTTAAATTAGATTGGATTGATGACCACAACAGAATTGAGGCCGAAGCAGCTTTAAAAACAGTATTTACTGTAGATAGCATAGATTCAGAAAGCTCAGAAGATAGCCAAGTTGATGAAGATATTAATGAAGAAAAAGACTTTTTTTTAATGTCAAAGAATAAAACGAAAAACAAGTCAAACAAATTAGAGAAACTTGATGGTTTTTTGAAAAAAAATAATTCGGACTTAAAGTCACTTTTTGGGTATCCTAAAGTGATGAAAAAATTTATTTATTTTAATACTGGCCTACCATCCAGTGCCCCTGTAGAGCGTCTTTTTAGCACTGGAGGTAATGTTATGACTGTGAAGCGTCATAACTTATCTGATGATTTATTTGAAAAATTAGTTTTACTAAAGAAAAATAATATTTGTAAATAATAAATAAAAAACATTGAAATAACCTTCTCCTTCATAATATAATTAATAAATTAGTTTTTTCTTATAAGTTATTATATATTATATATCATAGTCCGTGGTTATCAGTATCACTCATTCTTATGATAAGAATCTTATCTCTCCAGAACATGGTCATTGGTCTAAGTCTCTAAGACCAATGTTCTAAGAAGATAAGGTCCGTAGCAACACTGAACGTGTAATGAACGCGTTCTTTTTTTCAACGAACGTGAACGTGAACGCGTTCGCCATTTTAGTGAACGTTCCAAACACTGATCTATAGTAATTGTTATTAAACAACATAATATGATATCAATATTTCGATAATACTGAAATACTGAAATAATTATTATTGATGTAACAGACAACCATTAAAGTCATTAAATGTAATTTACAGTTGTTGTGTATTTTTAAAATATTCTTTTTTATAATTTATAAATTAAAAATATTTGTTCTACCATGGGTAGAAAACTCTGTGCTGTGCTTTCTTGCAATAATACAGGAAAAGAAAATCTTGGAATTTCATTCCATAGATTTCCAAGTGATAAAAACATGTAATTTTTAAAGATTTTAACTTATTCTTAAATTGTAACTAAATTACAATCCTAATTTCTATAAAATTATTATTATAGATGTAGTCAATGGGTGAAACTAACCCAGAACAATATAATTATTAAACGTTTTGAAGAAAAGGGGGTGGACTCAGTAAAATATAATGTAATATGTTCAACACACTTTAAAAATGAAGACTATTCAATTTGGAACAATATTGGAAATAGAATGTCTGTATATTATACCGAGTTATTTTAAGATAATTGTATTTCATGCCCTTGTTAGACAATTATTTACAAGATTCAAATCAATAATTTTGAATTATTTAATTATGCAGGTTATTGTATAAAGGTGCGATTCCATCATTAAGTCTACCTACTTCTGTGTGTAACAAGACTGTGTTGGATAAGCAGGATACACCATCAATTTGGCGTCCAAATGTTTTGAGTCCTTTATTAAAGAAAATGCTGAATAACACAAATCGTAATAAACAAGAGTTCTTTAATGTCCTTAAAAATATATTATTACCAAATCATCAAAACAATTTTCTTTTCAGTTGATGGTAGACCGTTCAGTCAACAACCAAAAGTATTAAGTCCAAAAGTTAATAAAATGTTATGCAACATTTATGAAAATTTTGGTGATTACCTACTTTAAAATTAAATATAATTGTTTAAAACATTTTAAATTAACAACTGATAGTAATTATTTTTTAATCTTTTAACTTCAGATAAAAGTTTACAGCAACCTGAAGATACTTCTTATAGTTTGATATCCAAATCTTCAATTAGTTCAATTTACTCTGAAAATAATATAATTAATGATGAAGATCTTGGCGGTAAATTTTATTAACTCTACTCTATGTTTAAAAAAAATTACTATTTTAACTAATTTGTTATTTTATATTTTAGTGTCCAATTTGGTTGATGAGAACATACCATATAATGAATTAGTTCAACCTTCAAATGTTAAGGACGAAACAAGTAAAACATCTACTATTAAATACTTTTAAGTTTTATTATATGAAGCTTTGTGCTTTTATTAGAATGATAACTTCTATGTCTAGCTTAATACTTGCTTTCTACTGTAATCCTTAACTACTGTTTTGCCTAGTCTGCCCAGTTACCTATCCACTTGCCCACCAAAGACTCCACAAGCATGTTTCCTGTTCTTGAAATTAATGGTGATTTACTTCACGCCGCGCTTTACGCTTTATTTAACTTACCGGAAAAATTTTAATTTTTACTGCTGGTTATTAAGTGAATTCTTTAAGCTTTATTAATTATTATATTTAATTTATTTTTTACATCTATTTAATTCTCGTTTCATATAACACTGACATAATGTCTACATCGTCTCTGAAGTACTACTTGTACACATTGATTCATTCAATTAGTAATTAAGGTAAGTAGCAACGATTCCATATCAATTAAAAATAATTAACTTCTTTCTTTTATTTTGTATGTGTACAACTGTACAAGGCATAGGAAATTTCCTCAATTTATATTATTTAACATACAATAGTTACTGAATACACTATAAGGTATAATTTAAATACAACAGAAACATTATAAGATAAAAAGAGTAATATGATATTATAGCTGGCGCGGTTAACCTTTTTTACTCAACATAACTTTATCCTTATATTTATATTGTTACTATTAATAAATTATGAAGATACTAGAATGAACTTTTCTTTATTGAATTTATACAATATTATGTTTATTGATTTCTTATTTTCCAATTTTCCTTGTCAGTTGATGTTAGATTAAAAAAAAAATAATAATATTATTGTACTTAAGAAAGTACATTTTAAGAATCTGTATGTGGATAAATTCTCATTATTTTAATAATTAATTAATAGTCAATTATTTTAAATACATATATACATATTTCTGTCTTTTCAATAATGTCTAGCATACTAACAGAATATTTTATTTGACAATGTTTAGATTATCGATTAAGTGTCCATCATAATCCTCAATTATGTGACCAGGAAAATAAGAGATTAAAATTAAAAATTAGAATAATGCAAAAATTAATAAATAAAAAGAACTCTAGGATACAGTTGTTAAAAAAAAAAAATCTTAACAAATTACAAATTAATAAGAATTTATTTCAAACTACATTCAACAATAATTTTATTTTAAAAAACCAGTTAAAACTAGCTAATATTAACAAATATGGTCGCAGATATAAGGAAAATCAAAAATCATTTGCACTTGCATTATATTATAATTCCCCTAAGGCATACAATTTCATGCGCAGGTATTTATGTCTTCCAACAGTGAGATCACTTAGAAATTGGCTACAATCGATAGATGTTTCTTGTGGGGTAAACTCAAATGTTCTCGATGTTTTAAAAATAAAGTTTATGAATGTTCCACCAAGTGAAAAGCTGATATCAATTATAATGGATGAGATGTCACTAAAAAAATTGATTTCTTATAACTCTCAAAATGATCAATTTAGTGGTTATGAAGATTTTGGTATAGATCATGAGTTTGTTGATATGAAAATCTGTGACCAAGCATTAGTTGTTATGATTAAAGGTATAGTTAAACCTTGGAAACAAATAGTAGGATATTTTTTTTCTAAAGGACCAGTATCTGGCTTTAGACTTAAAAACATTATTACTAATGTTATCAATAAAGTTAGAGATGCTGGTTTTATTCCAAAAGTTATTATATGTGACCAAGGTACCAATAATATTGGTATGAGAAATTTATTTGGAGCCACACAAACTCAACCATTCATCAACTTCAATGATGAAAACATTTATTTTTTTCATGATAGTCCTCATTTAATTAAATCAGTAAGAAATAATTTAAAAAAATACAATTTCAGTTATGAAAATAATTTGTGTAGTTGGTCAGATTTAGCAGATTTTTATAATTTGGACAAAAACAAAAAGCCAAGGTTAGCTCCTCGATTAAATAAAATTCACATGGATCTACCACCATTCTCACCAATGCGTGTTTGTTTGGCAACCCAAACATTAAGCCATTCTGTTAGTTCTGGTATGATGACTTTAATTTCAATGAATGAAATGAAAAGTTCAGCTATGCATACAGCAAGATTTATAGAATTATTTGATAATTTATTTGATGTTTTTAACAGTATAACACACAGTGAAGCAAAAATATTAAGAAAGCCACTAACTAAAACTTCTGATCATTGGAATTTTTTGAATGAAGCAAAACAGGTATTAGGAAAACTTAAAGTTCACAATAGAACTGGGAAATTACCACCGTGTATAGTAGGTTGGAAAGAAAATATTATTGCTTTGAAATTGTTATTTACAGAATTAAATGAAAATTATAAAATAGATTTTTTATTAACAAGAAGACTAACACAAGACTGTGTAGAAAATGTGTTCTCAGTAGTAAGGTCAAAAGGAGGTAATAATGTCACACCTGATGCTACAAAATTTCATTCTGCAATCCGTATGTGTATGTGCAATACTTTATTGGAACCGTCACAAAGTGGAAATTGTGAATCTGAATGTGATGCAGTTCAGTTCTTGACCAAATGCAGTGAGCTAAACAAAATTAAAATACAGTTAAAAGTAATAGGTGATCCAAATGATGATGAATATTCTGATAAAGAAGATTGTCTTAATTTACATTTATCTTCAATGAATATTGCAAATATACAAATGGAAAATCATGAAGCTTGTGCGATAGGCTATGTAGCTGGATGGGTGTGTAGCAAACTGATTCATCAAGAATGTGTAGATAAGTTAGCTGTCAAAAAACAGAATAATCCTCAAGTCAACCTGGAAAATACACACATAGAAATGAAATCGTATGAAAATGCCAATTTATTATATCCATTTAAAAACACACTGGAATTTGCAAAAAAATGTTACGTGTTTATTTAATTTAAATATAGAGTCACTTTTGTTAAAAAATAAAACCGGTGTTCGAACAGAAATTATAAAAATTGTTGATCTTGTTTGTAAACCATTGAATATATGTGATGCATGTAAAACTGAATTCTTAAAAAAATTTTTAAATGTATTAATAAATTGTTTCATAAAAAATAGCAATAACAACATTGATGTTTTCAAAATGCATTCAAAAAATAAAAAATTTAAAAAAATTGTCCATTTGTAAATCGATATGTATATTTATGTATATTAATCAAAATGTATAATTTATATTCTTTAATTTTACCTATATTGTATTATATTATACACTCAACTATTCATTTAACATATATCATAATCATAAAAATATTGTTCACAAATATTTTATGATGTTCTTATACCTAAGTTTTATTTCTTTAATTATTTTGTATTTGTACATTAAACATAATATTATGACTTGTAATGATGGTAAGTATAGTAAGTAACTACATTTTTTTTATTGTTTTAATAATATTTTGTATTAATCTTTATGTCAAACATTTGTGCAGTTATTTTTTAGTTAATTATAATCAATATTTTGTGACACCTTATTATATAATTATTTTCCCACAACTATTGATATTGTTAAAATGTTTAAAACTTAAGACCTGTATCGCTGTATAACGGCGTAGAACTGTATCAAATTATTGTAAAAACAATAAACCATCAAGTATTACTCTATGAAACAAACCTTGTTTTAGTAATCCAGTGTCCATAATCCATAGTCATACAGTCCGATACAGGTATGTATTACACGTTTATAATAAACTATGTGTATATTTATATATTTTAACACTAATAACACTATACTATTAAGTACCTATAGGCTAATGGACTTAATTTAAAAATTAGAAAATAACTTAAGTAGTTGAACTGTTGTTGAAGTAATTAACATACCTGTAATATACAATAAATTACGAAAGAAAAACAAATTGAATTAACTTAAGTTCACTATCTATAGTATTTGTTATCAGTGTCTAGAAAAGAAAAATTAAGGGGCATATATAGGCAACCTACTATAATTTGGAGCGCTACAGTGTCCCCTAGAAAATCTAAAAGTTTCCCGTATTCTAATCTATAGTATTTGCTATAAATCCAAGAAACCCAGTCTTTCGTTGTGATTCAAGTACGGGTGTAAAAACTCCTGGTCTATCTTGAATTTTAAGACCTTTAATATATGTTGTCATTTTTTCTGTGAATAATCTAACTTCTTGAATATTTTCTTTACATAGTACTTTTTTAAATCCTACACAGTTGATAGAATTTGAGTTTAATATGTCAAAGCCAGTATTGAAGAGTTCGATAAATTATATGGTAGCACCTGCATTAGAAAACTCTTTTAATTTGAGGCTATCTTTGCAAAATGTCAATGCATCTGCTACTGGCTGACTAAGTAGTTGGATTGCAAGTTTAATTTCATCTTTTGTTTAAAATAAAGAAGATGCTGTTTTCGCTGTTTATTAGCAATATGGCATCCCTCCTACTCTTGCAAATAACACAATTGTCGGACATATTCAAATTTTATTTCATTATTTGTTGTTCTAAAGACCTTCTTTTCCCCAAAAGCATTACGAACCAATTCAATCATATGTGCAGGATTAAAAAGGGTTACAAATTTTGGATTACTTTCAAAGCCAGAAGAAAAAGACGTATCTTATGCACTCAAAACATAATTACAACCTAAAAGTTGAGCCGCACTAATATTACTAGAACAACCATCAAATGTTAAGCTCAAGACTTTTACACCAGTGCTGTTCAATTCATTTAATGCGTGGCCAACTAGTACAACTTTTTGTGCACTTTTTAAAGCATCAACTACAAATTAACCAATTGGTAACTTTCAATTTTCATTTACCGAGACTGCCATAAAAACTAAGCTTTGTTTAGCTGTGTTTAAACTATCATTATCCATATCATTTCCCATATCAACCCTTTCATAATACCTAGTACCATCAAATTCCAGGTGTTGTCTTATAGCCATTTCATCCATAGACAAAGCTAATAAAATAGGTTGAGCTGAATTATTTACTTTAAGTGTTAGCATCTTTAACAACTCTTCAGTAAAACCTGGTTCATCATTGACATTTCTGTACCATTTACTAAAAGTTCTACTATGAGGCAAAATCGTGTCAACTGCTGTATTACATACGAATATGCTTTAGCAGAAAAAAAATTTAATGATAAAGCAAATTGACGAATAGTGGCACTATATTTCTTTGGAACTTTTTTACCTAATTTTTTTTTTTTGTCCAATTAGTTATCAAATCTTTATGCTTATCAAAAGACTCAGACAGTGTATAACTTGCTTCCTCGTCAATTAAATTTTGTTTTCGAAGCTCGGAAATGATATTCTTCATAGATGAAATCCTTTTACTTTGGCGCCTTATTTTTTGCTGAAGGGTTTTCATTTTAATATTTTTGATAGATACTTCATGTGATAGTTGGCGAAGACTTCTTTTCAATGCGATTTTGCGTGGAGTGTCATTTGGAACTATCGCTGTGTCTATGGACATTGTGGATGAGTCAAGTACATTCTAAAAAAAAAATTATTAATAAACAAATCAATATATGACAATATATAACATCAATTTATAATAGGGCCATTTTCCAAAATACACCTCAGCACCTTCTTGCGAATCCCCGGAATGACTTTTTTTATTTTATTTTTCTCTCAAAAATGTCTCGCAAGCCTCTCCATTTTTTTTTTTTTTTTTACTTCTTCCTCTATAATTTAAATTATTTATAAAATTAATGTTTATAACGTAGCAACATCGCGTAGAAGCAAAGAAAAAAAATTGAATAAATATTTTAAATAATTCTAATTAAAACATAATTTTTATTTTTATTTGAAACGTTGAAACGGTACTTTAATAATGTCCCGGTTTCTAAAAGTACCAGATTATTAAAATATTAAAAGTAAACTGTAAAGGTATTCTAATATATAATACTTTTTTATTATTATTCTATGTAGGTACTTGGCAACAGGATTAGCATTTCGACAGTTAGCACTAACATTTCGAATTTCAAAGACTGCAGTATCCAATATAGTCGTTGAAGTATTTATCGCTATTTGGAATGCATTAAAAAAAAAAACATATGCTATTCCTACAGTTGATGATTTTAAAAGTGTCGCTAACGAATTTTTTACATAATGGAATTTTCCAAATTGCGTTAAAAGTGTTGACGGGAAACATATTAGAATAAAATGCCCTCACAATTCTGGTAATTTGTTTTATAATTATAAACAGTATTTTTCTATTGTTTTAATGGCTGTCGCTGACGCCAATTCTAAATTTTTAATGATCGACGTTGGTTCATTCAGCAAAGACAGTGATGTCAGTGTTTTGTGTAATACATCGTTTTATAAACGTCTTGAAGCTACCGATTCCATGTAATTTACCAAATTCAAATCAAAAAGTTCCATATGTATTTATTGGTGACGAAGCTTTTCCGCTGAGAAATAATATTATGACTTATGAGACTGTTTCCATTAAAACAATTGGATGACTATAAATCATATTATAACTATCGCCTTTTAAGGGCAAGGATGACGTTTGAATGTGCTTTTGGTATCGGATCTTTGAAATTTAGAATTATTTTAAAAGCAATAGAAACTAAAGTCGAAAATGCATATCACATCGTTAAAGCCATTTGCATATTACATAATATGATAATTGATAAAGAAAAAGAAATATCGTCATTTCAAAATCACCTGTCAGACTATTTGAATAACAATGTATGTGAAAAAAATAATGCCATGTTAGGACTTCGTTGTGGTAGATTCAATAATCGTGCTTCCCGTACTGCAATTGATGTAAGAAATACTTTTGTAAATTTTTTAAAAATTAATATATTAGCGTAAATTTAAGTTTTTATAATAATTGCAAGATATATAACTTATTATTTATATTAATTTATTTCATATTAATTCATTGTATTTTATTATTATGTAATAAGATTTTTGCATAGAATTTCAATCAATTTCGTCTTATTTCAATAGATAGGTATTTTATATTTAAGATTAGTTTCCCTAAACATTCATATCAATATTAGTAAATTTTACTTTTTATTTCATTTATTTTAGGACTCTGTGTATACACCTAGATATTTAATAAAATGTGATCAATTAAAGCTATTCAAATATACTGTACGTAGGGGAGACCGGGGATAGTTGTAACACGGGGTAAATTGTAACATAGGCGTAATCAATTTGTAGATTGTAATTAAATTGTTCTAATAGATGGCGTTAGATTCGTCATAAAAAACTATCAGTTTTAGTGTTGTCATTACTGATATATTATCATTACCTACGTAATTACGATAAGAAATTTGTCGTTATCACTAAAATGTAAATAATATTTAAGTTTTATTTTTTCATCTAATTGTTTGATTTAGAATAATTTATACATTTATTTTACATTCATGTGAATGAAAATCAAACGTAGTTTATGGTCCAACAACTCTCATTTGTGTAAGTATAATAGTTTTTTTTTTATAACATCAAATATCAAAGAAAATCAAATGGGGTAAAATGTAACAAACCCATTGGGGTTAATTGTAACACTGTTTTATTTGTATTAAATTTCAATTATTTATTTTCACTTAATCAACCTGTCATATTTATTTGATAATTGTTTAAAATTATTAGGTACTTATATTTAGTAATGGCTAGAAATTATATAAGAACCACCAACAGAGGGTATACCAAAGAACAAATAACAAATGCCTCACATGAAATCATATCAGACAAAAAATCAATTCGAGAAACCGCAAAAAAATATGGATTATGCCATGTAAGTCTTTCACGTTATGTGAAAAAAATTAAATGTAATGACAATGATAATAATGTACCACCAGCCATAGGCTATAATTCCCCTAAAAAAGTGTTCAGTGAACAACATGAACAACAGTTGTGTCAATATATTAAAAATTCTGCTGACATGTATTTCGGACTTACTCCTCGTGATATTAGACAGCTTGCTTATCAATTTGCTTTAAGACTTTGTCTAAACTTTCCAAAGTCTTGGGAAAAAAGTCTTATGGCTGGACCAGATTGGTTTTCTTATTTTTTGAAAAGAAATTCCACTCTGTCCCTAAGACAACCAGAAGCAACTAGTTTGTCTAGAGCAATGAATTTTAATAAACAAAATGTCAAAACTTTTATGGATAAATATGAAGCTGTTTTAAAAAAATATAAATTTGAAGCTCAACATATTTATAACATAGATGAGACTGGCATAACTACTGTCCAAGCGCCATCCAAAATTGTTGCTACCAAGGGTAAAAAACAAATAGGTTCTATTACATCGGCTGAGCGAGGTGTTTTGGTAACAATGTGTTTAGCAATAAATGGAACTGGTAATGCCATACCACCCATGTTTATCTTTCCAAGAGTGAAGTTCCAAAATCATTTTTTAAGAGGAGGTCCAATTGGATGTATTGGTACAGCAAATAAATCGGGTTGGATGCAGGGTGAAGAATTTTTGCAATTTATGAAGCATTTTGTGAATCATGCTCGTCTAACCATAGACAAAAAAGTGTTGGTGCTTTTAGATAACCACGAGTCCCACTTATACCTTCCTGTGATTGATTTTTGCCGTGACAATGGTGTTGTGTTACTATCTTTTCCACCGCATTGTTCTCATGAACTTCAACCACTTGACCGATGTGTATATGGCCCATTTAAAAAGTATGTCAACAAAGAAATGGATCGATGGATGACTATGAACCCTGGTAAAAGGATGACTATTTATGATGTTCCACAGATTGCAGTTGGTGCATTACCTGATGCAACCTCTCCTAGAAACATAACTAGTGGTTTTAAAGTGTCTGGGATCCATCCATTTAACCCTAATGTGTTTGGAGAAGATGAATTCTTACCATCGATTGTAACAGATATAGAGCTGCAAACTTTTGAAACACAAGATACATTTGTTACTCAAAATCTTATACCTACAACTTCAACTGTTAATGATAATGAATCAGTCTCTTCAACATCTAATGTTAGTATGCAAACTCCTCATAATAACAACATAAAAGTAACAAGTCCTGCCATTGATACTCAAACATCTTGCACAGATTTAAATAATACGGCATCAACGTTTATTTCACCTGAACATATTCGTCCATACCCAAAAGCAACAATACAAAATAAATTAAATCGTAAAGGTAGAAAAAAAGGGAAAAGCGCAGTATTAACAGACACGCCTGAAAAGATTGAACTAGAAAAAAAATATAATGCAAGAGTTGTAAAAAGAAATATATTTGAATCTAAATCTAAAGTAAAGAAAGATGTGAAGAAGCTAAAGAAGACGATTAAACCAAAAAAAGCCAAATTATATCATGACAGTACAGATGAGGAAGATTCATTTTGTTTGGTTTGTATGGAA